GCCGTTAGGGACTTCTTGGATCACACTTTGTCTGGAACTTCGCCCTTGACTGTTCTGCCATGGGTGACCCTAAGGGAGTACATGACTCCAAGCAGCATCGCTCTCGGGGTCATTGAGACATGCAAGCCTCTCCACCACTACAAGGTACAGTATAAACAAATCAATACAAATAGAGCTGGTTGGAATGTTTGTCAAAAATCTGTTTGGTCAGAGTGGTAACATTTTGCAGAGCTGCATCAGTTTCAATGAAATTTTTGTCAGTTTTAAGGTTCAGGGCTGTCTGGTCATTCCTGACTAGACACAGACAGAGCCCGAATTGAAAAGCTCAGGATTTCTATCTGAAAACAGCCACCTTGACACAATTCCATTGTGTGAAAACGTCAAAAGGTTTTCATTCCGGTACAGAACAAAAAATTTCTGAAACCCCTAAAATTGCCATCCTCCTGCCAGCTCTATAGAATAAGCTATTATACACAGAGGGAGAGACATTGTCTATATTGAAGTTTTAACACCAATGTAGGTTGAAATCCTGGCCCTATTGAAGTCAATGGCAAAACTCCTATTGACTTCGACAGGGATGGATTTCATCCCAGCATAGATGTGGTGTAACAGTATAGCCAGCGAAACTTGGTTTCATGCTACAGTGTAGCTACACTAGTGGCTAAAATCCCACCATAGACCAGGCTTGAGCTTGCACTACTGGTCAGGACAGAAAAATGACTTCTGACAGGGAAGTAAAGGGAAGCCACAAGAGTGGTCATGTGCCCCTCCCCAGCAGTGCAGGCAGGTTGGTTTGCGTGACCAGAGCAGCCGGTAGAGACATAAATCACTGCCAGAGTGGGGGGGCTGGGCAGTCATGCATGTGAGAGAGAAAAAGACACTTTGTCCCTCTCGCTCACTATTGCGGCACGTTCGGCATGGAGGGGCAGTGCTTTGGGGTGTTTCTGAGGACGTAGGTGTGGAGCTGGCTCCGTCCCCTCAGGCAGAGCAGAATGTAGCAGCCTGCCTGCTTAGTGAATTCTTCCCATTGTTCTTAGTGAATTCCCCCAGGAGTATAAAACAGGTGTAAAAATGTTAAGGCTCCTTTACATTGCCAGATTGGTGTAAATGAGCCTTATTGTAAAGGACAGTATGGCCTTATAAATGCTTATGGTGCTTTAGTGATTAGAGCTGATCTAAATTTTTGGACTGAAAAAATTTCCTATCAAAATGTGCTCCACGAACTGTGAGCTACTGACCTTTCTGGAAATGGTCAGTAACCAATATAAATTGTGAGTTTGAGTCCCCGGCCATCGCTTGCTCTTCAGTTGCCTATGATGTAACACTGAGCATATGGCTGCATATATTTGTTGACTAATAACTAGAAGTAAAGGGTCAATACTAACTACATTGCTATTAGACAGAGAGGGTTTGAGGATTTCCTCCAATGCTCCCCACTCCCATTCTCCATCCATTGTATTGTAGTTTAAATAAATTACCATAATAATTGAAACCAGTGTGATTATACTGCATTATTTTAACAAATAAAATATGCAGAATTTTAAAATATTGTGCACAGAATTTTTAATTTTTTGGTACAGAATTCCCCCAGGAGTAATAAGGGTTATTCTCTATTGTTTATATAAAGAGATCTTTGACTTGTCAAGGTACCACATATGGAAAAGAGGTACCTCAGTTTGGCATCTCCAGTAGATGGTATTGAGCAGTGCCTCAGCTAGATCTCCACTGCAGCAGCAGCACTGCCATAAAAGTCCAAGTCCTAATGCAGAAATTCAACCCACAATCATCTAAGGCTCCAACAAATAGTGTTACTGACATCAAGTGTGGTAGGGAGTATTCTTTACAGGCCAAGGAAAGAAGCATTCATGTTCAGCTTAATTCAAGCATTTTGTGAACATTTATTTGTCACATTTCATATACCAAATGTTATCAGAATTAGCACATGCACAAGTGAGAGATATACAAGCAGTTACAACTTGAAAACGCCCCCCATACAAAGGGCCATATTTCAATTTCAGTTACAATAGTGTAAAACTGGAGTAAGTCCACTGAAGACCAATGGAATGACTCTGAATTTGCACTCTCAGTAGTATCAGAATCTTGCCTACTGTACATAGCAGTAATTGGTTATTCAGATGATAAATGACTGAATATTTGGACTAAATAAGCTCAGAAGCTTGCCTCTCTCGCCAACAGAAGTTGGTCTAATAAAATATATGATCTCATCCACCTTGCCTAATATCCTAGGACCAACATGGCGACAACACTGCATGAATGTGTGTGTGACATTTACAATAGATCCCCCAAAAGGTGAAATTTATCTTCAGTGTTTCCATAAGCAGTATTTTCAACATCTATACTTTGAAACTACCTCTGTCGTATGATCTTTTCTCTTGTTTAATTTAGATGCAACATTTTCTGTCCAAGGGCTTCAAGTCCATGGGGATTGTCTTTAAGTCTACATTAAAGGGTAATCTATTCGCTTGTCCTATTGCGGAGCTTTAGGTTTGGATTTGTATAACTTTTTGTAAACACCCACTTTGTTTTTTAGTGTTCTCTGGGGTACTTGCATTACAGGAGCGAAAATTAAATTAAATCATTCATTGTTTTTCTGGGACTGCAGGAAAGGACAACTTAAAATCAAATTCAGGGCTGTACATGTCCTTAAATTCCAACTCATTAATACAGAAATTCCCCTCAGCCTAAAGATAAAGAAAAGAAGACCGCTGGTGTGGTTGTGTCTAGCATTAGATGAACATGTAACCATGAAAATCAACTTTGTTGATACTTCTCATAGAGTACAAATGTTTATTACTACTAATTCTGACCCCCTCGCCTCACAACACAGACAACTAACCAAGCAGATACAATAGACCCTCAGAGTTATGAGCACCAGAGTCACGAACTGACCAGTCAACCACTCACCTCATTTGGAACTGGAAGTACGTAATCAGGCAGCAGCACAGACCAAAAAAAACAAAACAAAACAAAAGAGCAAATTCAGTACAGTACTGTGTTAAATGAAAACTACTAAAAAAATAAAGGGAAAGCATCATTTTTCTTCTGCTTAATAACATTTCAAAGCTGTATTAAGTCAATGTTCAGTTGTAAACTTCTGAAAGAACAACCATAATGTTTTGTTCAGAGTTATGAACATTTCAGAGTTACGAACAACCTCCATTCCCAAGCTGTTCGTAACTCTGCAGTTCTACTGTATTGTAAAGACTTCTTTGAGGCAACCAAAAAGTTAATGATTAGCTTTGAAATCTGGTATGGAATTTTATGGAAAAGGTTAAACATTCTGGTAGAACTCCCACAGATTTTAATAAAAGATAGTAACAACGCGGATTAAATTCATGCTGGCTTCAACATCAGTGTAGCCAAAAACTCCCCCTACAGATTTTTTCTGCTGTTCTTAAAACAATAATTTTCAACTTTTCTTCAGTTCTGAAAGTTTCTACTAGTTTAAGAGAAAACATATAGCATGTATGTATGTCCCTATACATATAGCATCAGATTCTGCTATCCTTTTCCAGGTTGTGTAGTAACTTGCTCTACTGATTTCAATGGAACTACTTGTGGAGAAAGGTACTGCCCATTGTGAGGGTAGTAAAATGTAAGCCTGTATTGAGCAATACTGCCAGAACTGATAGAAACATTCAAAATGAAAGTTTTAAGAAAACCTACTGCACAGCAGTTGGAAATGGCAGTTACTCTGATCTGGAACTAAAGTATTTTGTTGTTGAACTGAACTTCAGTACACAAGCCAAGCAGTTGGGAGGGATAAGGGCTCATTGAATAAATACTGAGAGACCCTTAGGTAGAAGAAAGACTAATCTATCTACACATGAGAACTTTAGGAAATACACAGCCAGGAAGGCAGGGGGGAAGGGAGAATTTTTGGGAGAAGTGACATTTCTTTAGGAAAATGCATTCAAGATCATTATGTATTCTGGAGCTCCCCATCTGCTCCCACTCCAGGATACGAAAATGACTTTTCCCTGGGACCCAAAGACCTGAGACTTTGCCACTTTCATGGTTATTCCTTAAGGGACATGCTTGGTCAGATACAACACATGCTTTCAGGGAGAAGGCAGATTTCAGTTGTGCTTTAGATAGATAATATGGACTGCATAGTAGCCAAACTTGTTTTCTTGGCTTTACCAGTCCTTTCTAGGACCTGTGTAATGAGGCTATTATTTCATCATTTATCTTCACTATGGTCTCTCCAATGTAGTTTACTTTAGATCAAAAACCCATTAGATTTATATAATCAAAAATGAGAGCTGAGTCAATACACTTTTAGAGAATACTGTCCGAGAAATTCAAAGAGAAAAACTAACCACGTCCTCTTGCTTGAGTCAGATAAAAGTGACAAAAGTTAACTTGAGAAGGGGTGATGTGCTAGAACAAAGACTGGCTTATGCTTTTAAAAGCTACAGCTTAAAACCTTGAGTGCACCCAGTGGAAGAATGTGTAAAATGGCTGACAAGATATGAGGGTGTCATAGTTAGAGCTGGGTGAATACATTGATTTTTTGGTTCAGTGGCCGAACCAAAATATCTGTAAAACAATTAAGTTTTGTTTTTTTCTCGACAAGGATGAAAAAATGTTGCTTTGAATTAACATTTCATTTTGAACCAGTCAATTTGAAACACGTCCAAATGGTTTATTTTGACATTTTCTAGACAAACCATTTAGACATTGCCAAAAAAATTATTTTCTGGGGTTTTTCGGCCAAAACAATTTGCCAAAGTCAACTCAAATTTGCAAATACTTTCACAGCCCCCAAAATGCCTTTTTGGCATATTTAGTATTCACCAATTTTTTCCCCCCAGTTCTAGTCACAACACTTGGGGCCAGATTCCGAGCTGGTGTAAATCAGCTTAGATCCACTGACTTCAGTGGGACGACACCAATTTCCATTAGCCAAGGATGTGGCCCTTGATGTCCAAGAGATAAATTGTAATATTGTCAAAGAAACATCATAAAATGATATATTAGTTATTAAAACAAAGATGGCAGTTTATTTATAAAATGATCTTCTCAGCAGCAATACAATGAGACAGATTTGCAAGATTACTGTACAAAATAATTGACATACCACATTTGTGTAACTGGGTCATGCTTACTTTATTCTGTATGACTCATGTTGTACAAAAAGAAAATGAATGTTAAAGGAATACACTAATTATTGTGACTGTTTAACCCATCAAAAGTTTATCTAATGAAATACCAATACTTTCTATAGTCCTTTGAATCTCAGTGATCCATTTCATAGCCTGACTGGGTCACGATAGCAAGCTGAACTGTATAAGAAAACGGTTCAGTGGGAAGCCTGCTTGAACCATATTTCAACACAGTTCACAAATACTGTTCCATTCTGAGCATAGGCCAGCACAGGGCCTGTCAATCACATAAATCCTGCTTTGAAAGCTTAAGTGAGACTTAAAGCCTTATTACAGGCCCTCTGGCCGAGGTGAATTTCACCCGCAGAGTGCACTGGTGTCCAATATATGTAATGATCTTCATCTGAAAGAGCAGAGGGACTAAAAATAGAAACAAAAAATTCCAATAAATATTCCTAATTTAACAGTGTATTATTCAAAATGTCCTTACGATTAAATCACTATCAGAAAATATAGTCATTCAAATAATTAAATATTGACTTTGTGCTAAATAGAAGATAAGTAACTCCAATTCAGAGATCAGAAAAATACAAAAGCGGAATTGCATTTTGCTGAATTTAACTAGCATGCAAATGTTGACCTTTTTATTGGCTTAGTTTACAAAAACAATTCTGTACATTTCTGATCCATTGGCTTACAGTTTAGTTTGATTCATCTGTCAAATATGTGGTGTGAAAAAAAGATGAGCGTATGGACAGTCTGGAGTTTAACAGTATTTCTAATTTTTAGAATGTTTACTAGCAACACATAAAACACCTGTGTTTTACTTAAAATATGAAATATCCTTTAAAAAATAATTTAGAGTATATACTGTCCTTGATTTCTGTCACTCTCAACATCTCTTTTGGATTCATCCAGTTGGGTAAAGGATTCATTCTTTAGTTTTGGTGACATCATATGGTTTCCACCACTGTGCAAATTGCAACACTTTCTTCCTCTGATCATCAAAGTTCTCTCTAATTCCTTTTTTCCAAAGCCTTGGTTCCAAGTCCAGCATGCCACCAATTATTTCCTTTGCAAGTATAAAAGAGAAAATAAAGAAAAAGGCTGAATGGTTGTATGACTTCACTTAAGGCTATTTTGCAATCAAACAAAGAATGTATATGTTTCCTCAAATGTCACTCACCCACCTTGTCTCTCTAATATTCTGGGACCAAGAGCCAGCCTTAAGGTTGCGTGCCATGGTCAAGAAGCAAGGAATGACATGGGCCTGGGGTGCGAGGCCATGGAAGGGAGCTCAGGGCAATGGGGGATGGGCAGCAGAGCCAGGGTGCAATGGGTGGGGAGCCCAGAGTGGCAGCGGGGCCTGGGGAAGCAGTGAGGCCTGGGGCAATGGGAGGGGGAGCCTGGATGGGGAGTCCATGGAGGAAGGAGAGAGAGAGGCAATGGGGACGGGGGGGAAAGCCCAGGGAGGCAGCGGGCAGGGCCGGCTCTAGGCACCAGCAATACAAGCTGGTGCTTGGGGCGGCACATTTTTAGGGGCGGCATTCTGGCGCGGGCCATGCCGCCCCTAAAAATGTGTCCCGGCCGCCCTAACTCACCTCCGCTGCTGCTGCTCGCGCGCCACTGCTCGCCCTCCCTCCCAGGCTCTCAAACCCAGGAGGGAGGGGGAGATCCCGAGCGGCCGCGGCGCGCGAATCAGGTTTGAGAGCCTGGGAGGGCGGGGGAGCAGCGGCGCACGAATCAGCTGTTTCGCGTGCCGCGGCCAGTCAGGATCTCCCCCTCCCTCCCGGGTTTGAGAGCCTGGGAGGGAGGGGGAGACCCTGAATGGCTGCGGCGCACGCGCTGCTTCTCCCTCTCCCTCCCTCCCTCCAAGGCTTGAGAGCCTGGGGGGGAGGAGGCAGGGCTGGGGATTTGGGGAAGGGGCGGAGTTGAGGCGGGGCCGGGGGTGGGGTAAGAAAAAAACAGGGGGGCGGGGGAGCGGCCAAAATTGTTTTCGCTTGGGGCGGCAAAAATCCTAGAGCCGGCCCTGGCAGCGGGGGCCAGTGCGCCAAAATACAAGTTCGCCCAGGGCACCATTTTCCCTAAGGCCGGCCCTGCTGGGACCGACACGGCTACAACAACACTACATAGTCAAGGCTGAAAGAATAGAAAACCTGAATGTAGTTAAATGTAATATTTTAAGAAATTAAATTCTGAAAGCCTTAAACTCTCCAAAACTAGACTGCAAAATGGAAAAATTCAGCTCGTCAGGTGAGTGACTCAGCCAACAACTTCTAAGGTACAGCATTGAAATGCACTCTACAAGGATCGTACCACTGTAGGGCTGTGTGGGTGTATTAGTAAGTTTGTGATTTAAGTAGACAAAAGCCCAGAAATTCACAGGCTCCCCTATTCTGTTCGTAGCAATATTTGAAAAAAGATTAAATTATTCCCGAAGTCCACTTATTGTCTGGTTTTTCATTACTGATTCTTCCAAGAAATTATTACTGTGGCTTAATAAAAAAACATAAGCTCTTATTGCAATTCGTAGTTTATGCGATAAATTCTCAGCATATGTGTGCAGGGATTTAACCACATAACTCCTAGTAATATTATCAGTTGTGTGTGAGAGAAATAGCGTATATGGGAGTACAGATGTTATACAAACTTGAATTCTTTTTATTTTTTAAATGGATTTCATCTAGAAAGGTTCTTAAAGAAATTTTTTTCTATCAAGATGAAACTTTCAAAGACAAGCTGTTTGACTTATGGCCTAGCTCCCAAATATAAAGATTACCAAATTGTCTTGTTTGTGAGAAGAACGACGATATCTGGTCATGGATTAATTTTGCTGATGGATGAATGCTGAGTGGCTTGTTGTTGCTAGGTCTTCTCAATTACTTATTTTGATAGGATTTTGGATAGACTCTTCTGTAACACAATGTCATCTCAAGACCTTTCACCTGGACAAAGCCACGTCAGCTTCCTCAAAAATGGTTTTGTGTTCTGTATTTTTGATATTTTGACAGTCTCTGTGGTCTCTCAGCAAACACTGAATATTTTTTAATTGATGGCTTAAGTGGGACTTTTCCCAAAAGTGAGTCTAGCTGAGGAAGGCCTAACTCAAATCTGATGGGACCAAGTTGCATGTCTCCAGAATAGCCTCACACTTAATTTTCTCAAAGGGCTTGGAGGGAGGCTCTCTGCAAGGTAGAGTGAGTGAAGCTTGCCTTTCGGGTCACTGAGCCACCTGAGGGAAAATTCACATTCCAGAAATTCTGAGGCGGATCACCTCAGGGAGAGGAAGGCAATAATCAACCGACGGGCTACACCAGCTTTTGGCCAATCTCCAGGCCTGAAAGCATGCTAGAGAGAAGTGCTGTGCCAGCAAGATCACCATCTGGCCCTTGTCTGCAGTTTCATCTCCTACTCCATGAGAATCTAGAAGATTCAGAGAGCTGAAGACTTTGTGAACCCCCATTATCTTAAGTATTTTAGTTCTAAAAAAACTTTGACTGTCACATGTAAATTTGGGTGCTAAATTGTCTAATTGTTGCTTATCTAAATATTATTATACAGACTAACAAAATATTTTTGTTGGGAGTTTGGGGAGTAAAGCAGTAGCCACCACGTTAGAATTGAAAACTAATCAGGAAGCTTTGTAATTGGTTTGTAGATGGTTGTTTTAGCATTAGCTAATTTAGGTTCAGTATCAAAATATCAACCAGGTCCCAATTATAGATTCAATTGACTTGGGTGAAATTCTTTAGTTGAGTTATAATCAAATGGATAGCCACCTTCTTAGGATTTATAAGGATTATTTGTTGTATTAATCTAACAAATGAAGTAATCTGATTATTTGAATCCACTTCAATATTGAGATTAACTTGTTGATTTGACCTTGATTTGATAGCTGCACTGTTTAATTCTTAGTTTAGTTTAGTATTATGAATAAGGCTAAGATTTTGTCATGGTAATTTTTGCCATAGTAATTTCGCAGACAGGTCACAGGAAATAAACAGAAATTCACAGAAGACCATGACCTGTCCATGACTTTTACTAAAAATAACCCTGACAAAATGAGGAGTGGGGGGGGGTCCAGCACCCACCGCTGCTGCTATTCACAGCAGCTGGGAGCTCCAGGACAGGTGGCTGGGAGTTGCTGGGGCCCCCCTGCCCCAGCTCAGAACTCCGGGGGGCTCCCCACCATTACTTGGACCTCCAGGGGCCACCTTCCGCCCACGGTGGCTGGGCACTCTGGGGGTGCCTGCCGTGCAAAACAGTTGGCTGCTCTGGGGGGCTGCCTGTGACAGCTTGGACCTGCGGGGGACCCTGCTATGGCTCAGAGCTCCGGGCAGGCACCTAGGAACTGCAGGGCCCCCAACTGCCCGCAGGGGCTGGGAGCTCCGGAGGGGCCCCCTGCCACAGCTCAGAGCTCCGGGGAGTCCCCCTGCCACAGCTTGGACCTCCATGACATAACCATAGCCTTCATTATGAACAGTAGGTTAGCTTTGGTGATATGCACTCTTGCTTTTATTTTTGTTTAATAGTTTTAATAAAATTTATTAAACTGATACTGAATCACACTTCTTTCAGTTAGCAATGTGGATTCAGAACCTTTGAGGACGAAGGTGGATATCAGCCAGCCCAAAAGCCTGACAAGATCCTCCTCAATTAGCCTTTGGTTCTCACGTATGTGACTTAAATCCCAATGCACTGCATAGAAAATCTACCACCATCTAGTAAACTGTGATAAAGTATGTTAAAATAACTCAGTGTTGGTGATGTCTGATTTAGTTACTGATACAAAAAATTCAATACATGACAGGTGCTTTGGACTTGTACATGTCAATACCTTTCCAAAATAATGAGGGAACTTGTGCTGATCTTCAATTACATGAGCAAAGCCTCCTTGAAGGCCGAAGTCCACAGAGAAGTAGGGCAAGCCTCTAGGAATCTAAATACATACAGAAAACATGCATTTTAAATATTTTAATAGACTGTATTTACAAAAGAACTGCTGTTTTTAATTAAGACGCCCACAATTTATTAAAAGTGAAAGTTGTTTTTAAAGTTGGCAGTCAGTATTAACACAGAAAAAATTTAGGCCCTGATCCTGCAAAGACTTAGGCAGGTCAATGGGACTAACAGTGTAAGTGAAGTTAAATATGCCCGTATGTATTTGCAGGATTGGGGCCGTATAGGGTATATCTACGCAGCATTCTGGGGTGAGCCTCCAGCCCAGGTTGCCTGACTCGGGGGAGTGGGTTCCTGCTAGCACTCTAAAAATAGCTACTATAGACAGCGTTTTGAAGTTGCAGATTGGGCTGTAGCTCAGGCTCTGACACCTGGGGAGGTGGGTGAGCTTCACAGCCCAAGCTCTGGTACAAGCCACAGTTTCAAAGCACTGTCTATATCACTATTTTCAGAGTGCTAGCATGAGCCCCACTGGTCCAACTCTGACGAGCCGGGCTAGGAGACTCGCTCCAAAATACTGTGCAGACATATCCATATTGTACTGCATCTTTCATACAAGCTGCATCACAAAAATATGTTTTTATACAGTTAAATAATCTAGCTGCAGAGTTAAAAAAAATGAAGGGGAAAAGAACAGGATACAGAAACTGGAAGAAGAGACGTTTGAAAATAGATGGAGAGATTATGACATGGAGTGATTCAGGAAAGCTGAATCCAGATGGCAGGAAGTGCAGAGAAGAAGATTATAACATCAAATGTGGTGAGATTGAAGGGATGGAGAGGAGACTGGCTTAGAGAGATATATGTATTAAGAGAGAACCATCATCATTAGAGATTTCCTTATCTTCTGGACTATAGTTGTGTCAAGCATGGGGAAATTTAAGAAGCAGGACTGCAAGTTAAATTATTGCCAGGAATGAAAAGTATGCTGCAGTAGAGACAAATGCCCCAGATTTTAGTCAGACACCTTTATTGGTGGCCATTTTGATGCCCTGAAAAAAGAACTTTGTAGAAAAAACAAAGGCAGGCATACAATGCTGGAACAGCCCCACTACACAAGTTATGGAAATTATGGACTAACCTGTTGAAAGGGAGATTTTCATAGTTCACTGAGCCTGCAATGAATTGGCCAGCCGGCCAAAAGATACCGCTAAGAGAATTTTCATTGGGAGAAGAGGGAGCCCTTGAAAGATTCATTAGTTGCTATGATGTTACCAGGGGAGTATTGCTGCTTCATGGCAGCACACTATTTTATCTCTACTCATTGCTGAGCATGTTCCTGCATAGACAGATGGTAGGAGTTATTGTGTCTCAAACACACAGCTACTTCCTCTGTTCCAGGCCAAATGCCTTGTAACTATCACGGGTGGTGTTTTACAAATGGCTTTCAAATAAAATGATATAGAACAGAGGGTTTTTTTGTTTTTTTTAAAGTAAGAATTCCCATGGAGGGTGCAAGTTAATTTATTTTGTAACAAACATCATCATCTATAGGGAAGCATTTAAAGTCAGGTTTAAAACTATTAAGTAAAGAATGAGCTTGGAAGAGGAAAAAAGGGGGTTGCATTGTCTTACTTGAAAACAGTTCCAAAAGGTTAAACAAAGTTCTTCCTTTCTCCTGGTAGGCTTTGTATAGTTTTGTGTAAGGACATGATTTTGATAATTAGCGAATCAGGTAATTTATGAGTGATAACACTGTGTGAGTTGTTTAACATGGCTTCAATATATAGTGTGTCCTACTGTATACAGGTCTTACTACAGCATATAGCAACTGTTATTGCTTACAATCTTTGTTAAATTTTCTTTAGCAGCCTGAACTATGTGGCTATTTCAATATTTGTGTTATTTTCCATTACTGCTAGAGATCCTTTTATAAGAAACTAAAATTAAAAGAAAAATTTTGATTAAGACATTTGTTAAAAGACAGTAGCAAATTAAAAAGATGAATTATTCAATAGCTGACCCATGGGATTATTATGTCTGCTTATCAACAGAATCTGGAATGCTTTAAAAACCAGTGTTGACTTGACAAATCACATTTGCTCCTGTAAATTAAATTCTGACCTGCTGTTGTTACAAATAACCTCTAAGATTACTACATACTGAAAGAGATTAAAGGAAAAATATGTTTCTCCCTTTTTCATAGCTTCTCTCATTTAACAGCACTCTGTGTGAATTGCACTGTTTTGCTTAGGTCATCAGCACATCTTGTCTCATGCACTTGCATAATGACCTCACTCTCATGTCCTGATCTGGGGGGAGCTCACTGGCACACACTTTCTCTAGCCCTGCAGGAGGGTGTTTACCAGCAGCAAATAAAGTTGAAAGTGAAACTGATTAGGCAGCACCCAGATGTGTGCACACAGAGACAAAGGAGAGTGTGGAAGAGGGAGACTCCTCAGGATGTTTGGCGTTCTTGTTTTCAGGCCTGCCTAAAAAACTTTCTAAACAAGATCAAGAGAGCAGAAAAACCCTGATTGTTTTAAAGACATTTTAAAAAAATGTTTAAGACAAATCATTTAAAGGGAGCTACACCTCTACCCCGATATAACGCGACCCGATATAACATGAATTCGGATCTAATGTGGTAAAGCAGTGCTCCGGGGGGGCAGGGCTGCGCACTCCGGTGGATCAAAGCAAGTTCGCTATAACGCGGTTTCACCTATAATGCGGTAAGATTTTTTGGCTCCCGAGGACAGCGTTATATCGGGGTAGAGGTGTATTAGAAACTTGAATATTTGAATACTGAACACAGTCCAGCACTGACGTCAACTTTAAAAAATAATCAAGTTGACAGTTGATTCTAAAAAGTACCAATAATTAATGTGGGTAAGGTTGGTCTTTTAGTCTATGTCTAGGAGCCTTCTGTAGATCCTGTTTAAGTCTATGAAGGCAGTGAGGGGGAGAACTTCTACATCTTGTCCTAATCTTGACCAAGACCCTTCCAAAAGGAGCAAGAGACAAGCGCAGACAGAGTCTCCTTAATTCTCTTCCACATACTGGGTCAAATTGAGCTATGGGGTAAGCAGGCATAACTCCCATTGACTGCAGTGGAAACTGCACCCACCAACAGCAGAGCTCAATATAGTCCACTATGTCAAGGATGAGCCCTAAATTGAAAACTGTAAACTCATTATGCTGTCTCTCATTACTGCTATGCAAATCAACAGCATGTATTTATGTTTCAGTATTTAAATGGATTAGGAATATACACAACTAAACCTGCAGTGAGGGTATGCTGACAAACGCTTCCTGAATTATTTTTAACTTAAATTTAAATTTGCTTTACAAATTGTTCTGGCACTGCACTCCCATAACCAATTTAGTGCTGTAGTTATCAAAGAGGAATAATATAAGAGGAGAAATGCCAGGAGGGGGAAAGGGAAAACAAATTATGTTATGTTAGAAGCACTTATCCTTGAAATTTAGGTTTGTATCTAGAAAATGAAACAAAGCTTTGATATATTGGTTCTGACTGTCTTGAAACAGGTAACAACAATGCTTCCTAGTAACATTTCCTCATCTTCATGGCTTAAGTAAATGGAAACAATGCTAAATAACGGAAGAAGATGCACCAAGTCCCCAGTATTCCCTCGCTGCACAGAACACACAAACAACAATGAAGAAATCCTGTGGAAACAGGATGATGGGGTGGAATGAAGTTTGTACCAGGAACAGTAACAGAACTACTGAGTAGCATCTGCTCACCACAGAGCTACCTCCATGAAAACTATACTGGAGCTGAAGGTTCTGTGTTGAAAAGTACTTTCTTCACATTTATAGAAGATCAGACTTTTACCTCCTGCTCTTCAAGTAAAACTTCACCCCCAGAATTGATATCCTCATCCTTTTATAAGCCTTTGTCCTGCCACACTCCAAACACAACGGTCTGTGTTTTCTCTCTGACTTTAGATTGTAAAACCCTTTGAGTAGGTAGGAACCTTTTTTATATTTGCTTGTTATTCACACTATAATAATAAGTGTTAATTTTAATGCATTTATTATATATATATACATTTTTATATGTGTGTGTGTATATACATATATATATATGTGTGTGTGTGTGTATATATATATATATATATATATACACACACACACACACA